GATATGAATGGGGACTCCGGAAGGAAACTCAAGTGACAGTTTTCGATCAAAGGTCTCACCAGAGTCTCTTACTCAAGTAAATGCCCATGATTTTTCTGTGTTGCCTGGTGGGAAAGAAACACAATCACCTTCAAGATCTGATAGTTTAGTTAGGGTTGGATTTAATCACAAAGAATCAGCGAATTATATGCTGCATTTTGGCCAAACTGTTTCTCAGAGTTTCTTCAACAAGAATCATGGAGCCTCGGCTGGAGCAGATCATCTACAAATCAGTCCTCAAATAGCTCCATCCATGTATAGTCAATATGAGGCTTTCAAGAACGGACTGGTGCAACCCATGAATGATACAGGGAGATTCACTCTCATGAAGATAGGAGAACGATATTCTAACCTTGGGAATTCTGATGATGGTTTACATTCTGTTCAATTGTCAAAGCAATCAAATACCGCGGATCCTGGTTACGTTGTTCATATTCAGCAAATGTCAGGCTCCACACCAGGAGTGGAGACTCTCTCATCTACCTCATTGCCTCATGGTGCTACTGACCAACTTCTGAAGGTTGATAAACCAAAGAAGCGCAAAACCGCCTCATCAGGACTTTTATCTTGGAATAAAGAAGTTATGCAAGGTCCCCAGAGGCTTAAGACTCTCGGGTGTGTGGCTTATAAGCACTATTGTTTAGATAAAAATTCATATCCATTACTGTATTAAACTTTTTGTATTCTTTCCAGTGAGGCCGAGGTTGATTGGGCCAGAGCAACGAATCGATTTGCTGAAAAAGTGAGTTTCCTCATTACACAGTTTTCCTGCCGGGTTTCTTTGTACAATGTTATTGAATACGCTGATGGCTTATGTTCTCACAGGTGGAATTTGCAACTTTACTTGAGGATGGCCCACCAACCAGATCAAAGAGAAGGCTTATATATACAACACAACTCATGCAACAACTGTTTCGTCCCCTTCCTGATAGGGTGAAAGTTTTAGTTGCTAGCTCAAATTATGAGTTTGTTACTTACACTGCTGCTAGAGCTGCGCTAGGAGATGCATGTAGCTCCACTTCTACTGACAGGGTTGAGGGCTTTTCGCCCCCGAACAATTCAAACCCGTAAGGATATCTTCTGTTTATCCCTGAAATACTGGGAAATGTCTAGACTTCGAGGTTTTGTATTGACTCGAATGGATCCACTCTTGTGTAGGTTGTCTGAGAGAACGGAAACTGAAAAGATGAGTGACCAGTACATCTCCAAAGCAGCTGAAGATTTCATTAGTAGAACAAAGAAACTAGAGACTGACTTTGCAGGGTAAAACTGTAGCTCTCTCTTGTAATTGATTCCAGTTTGAAATGGTTTCTCATTTGGGCTGGTTTGATCTCATGAAAATCTTGTTCTTCTTGCAGACTAGAAAAAGGAACTACAATTACAGACTTGAGAGTCGAAGTCCAGGATCTAGAGAGGTTTGCAGTGATCAATCGTTTTGCAAGTTTCCACCAATCGTCCTCATCTATGGACCGGTCTGTGAGTTCACTTAGGTTAAACCCACAGAGATATGTTACCGTAGCTCCAATGCCTCGGCATATTCCAGACAGGGTACAATGTCTCTCTTTCTAACTATTGATAGATCCATATAATTCACTTTTTGGCCAATCCTCCCGAAAATGTTTGTGTTTATGGGTGGGTACGAGTTAGTTGGTCGGACTTCTGAGAACAGTGAAGGCCTCCATCTTCAGGAGGCCGGAGATTTCGTAGTAGACATGTAGCATTACTGTATGCATAATCAAGAATATTGGATGTCAAATCCACATGTATACTTAGTAAAGATAATTTGCCCATAACAGAAATCCCACAAGGTAACACCTCTAGTGAACTTTGAAGAACTCACTCTATCAAGTCTTTGAGTGCTGTTTAGAATCAATCATTGAAAAGATGAAACCTGACCAGAGCTTCTGCTTCAGAGTATTACAAGGTGACTCTATTTACCTCTGGAAGCCAAGTTGACATCATCATTCCATATTTATTATTTAGCAAAGAAGTGATTAAATTTCTGATAAGAAAATTGAAAACTCAAGCTAACATGAAAGGCTCTTGTTCTTGATTAGTTCCATATAAAAAGATTGAAACAACGAAACTTGAGACGATGAGAAGTTGGTCGGGTTTGAGAAGTGGTTCTTTGATGTAAGCTCACGTAATAATAACTAATATCTTTTGTAAGAATTTCAACATCGACGTGTTGTAACAACCAATTTCATCTTCCGTCTGATCTATCAACAATGATCCAAGTAACCGGGTCCAAAAAATCATGCGATCAAAAGAGAAAAATCGCATTTCTCATTCTTTGTATCCAGACTGAGAATCTTAGAACTCCACAAATGAACAAGAGCTCAGGGTTCTAGTTTGTTACTCAGATTAGAGAGTCGAAACACAAAAATAAATCACTGACAATCTCTGGTGCGGAAAGAAGAACCAAACAAGGTTGATAAAAGACGAGCAGAGTACTTGGCTACCCTCTTAGACTTGAGGATCATTTCTTCGTCGCGGGTCTATTAGGCCCTAAGTAGTTTGTAACCAATCCCATTATAGCAAACCTGTTTTAATACAAGAAAAACTTAAGAGTCAGAGTAGAAACAATCATCTTTTGCTTTCCAAAGAGCTAAACTTAAGAAGGAGAGCATCTATCAACTCAAATCTGATCCATCTTCTTCAAGGTATTTGCAATGGTTCACTTCATTACTCAAATGCTTTCGTCTAACTTAAAAAAAAAAAAGAATGAATGAATGAGAAGGAACATACATCATAGCCATGGAGATCTGCTTTAAATCATTTTCCAAGTTCCTCATGTTGGCGAGAGATTGTGCACAGAATATAATTGCAAGCCACGAGCATATCTTGTACTGAGGACACAAAAGCAATAATGAAGATGGATTAGTTTTTCTCACTCCACATATGATCTTCTAATCCACTCTCACTGTGACTATCTCTAGATCTCGAGCTCAAATCTCAACCGAGATCTAACATTTTCTCTAGTCTATAATATGATACAATCATCTGCCTATTTGGGGAAGTAAGGCTTTAATCAATTCAACATTCAAAGTCGCTAGCGAGTTTTGGAAAAATCCAATGTCAGAGATCACGAACTAGCTACAGATTGCTGATGATAAATCCGACGATCTAGCTTACCAAATCTGCCTAAGCATAAACCCAACCGGAGTAATAGTTTCTCCGACTGAATTGCTTTTCAACAGAGCAACGATCAGAAGAAGAGAGATGAAAATTTACCCTGAACATAACGCCGGAGACGCCAAGGATAACGGCGATAAATCCGGAGTAGTCAACGGGAAGATCCTCCGGCGCTACAGGCCGTGGAGTGTAAGGTTTCGCCGCCGAAGGCAGCCGTGGATCGTTCGCCGACGAAGCGTTTCCGTGACTGTGAGACATCCTCTCTCTCTCTGTATCTCTCTAAAGCTCCGATGGTAAAATCTCTGATCTACTGTAAATTGTTCTTAGAGATTCTATAAGCTATATAGAGATAATGCTAATTACAATTAAAATTAATTTAAACGAGAAATTACAATTGTAACCTTTGCGTATTTCTCTTCATAAACCCCTAGGTTAGAGAGGGAAATAGAAAAGAAGACTATCGCCGGCCGTTCAATTTCCGGCGACGTAACAGAGTTTCGGAGTATAAATAACTTAAGCTCAAATCTCGTTTACGATGAGTGTCTCGCAGTTTCCGCCGCCTGCTTCTCCGGCGAGTTTATCATCATCGATGAGGCTATGGAGACCAGCTGCTCAGCGGAATCTTAGGAATCAGTGGTCTAAACTGTCGAATTGTCGACAACAGTGGATCGTCGCTTGTTCTGCGGGAAGATCTCACGCTACTTCGCTCGTCAATTCGTATTTATCTCAAAAGTATGGAAATTATAAAAAATTTATTTGCAAATTTCTATGTTTTTTTCTGGTTTCGAATGTCTTAAAAGCAATCGTTTTGGAATTTGGTTTCATTTTGGTGATTTGATGAGTGTTTGAGTAAAAATATCGATTCTTACTAATTTGTGTTTCCATGACAATAGGTATATGCCAATGATGGAGCTTGGTGTGTTGAGTGACATGTTTGATATTAAGAAGAAAGCTTTGAAGAAGCTGTTTAAGCAACAGGTGAAAATTTGCATTTCAATACTATCTTTGTCTTTCGTTTCATTCTCATGCGCTCAGTCTCTTTCGTTTTAACTCACATACTAAGACTACCTCCAATGGAGGGTTCTATGTTCAGAGTTCCTATCGAATCAAGCTTTTATCGTCGTACAAGGAAATGGTGAGTGTGACAATGCTAAATCTTGTAAATTTGGGAAATTTATTCTCTTGTATTGGAATCTATAAACAAAACTGTAGAAAAATGCAGGTAGCTGTTGTTGTTGAGATGGTATATGCAAGCAGATCTCTGAGATGTTATACGAAACTAGGTACCGGGTCACTTGTACAGTTCTCTGGCTCTAAGGAAGATTCAAGTGATGCTGGAGATTGTGGTGGCATCCCTGTGTTTAATTTTTGGAATGTCTCTGCATTTGGTAAGACCCAAAAACAAAAGTTCAATAGTTGATTCTCCTTGTATGTGTTGTCTCTAAAGTTTGGTACTTGCCATATTGATATGATCACAGAGAAGATGGCTGGGGAGCTTGTGGAGATGTTCAAACGCGAAGTAATGGTAAAGGTATTGTCTACTCCTAACTCCTGCATATATCTTAAACTCTAGATCAGCTTCTGATCTTTTTTTTTTTTTTTTTCTGGAAATTAACAGAGATTGCTCATAATGGAACTGATCTCTTTAAGCACTGAAGTTCCTCAACCCGTCAACAACAGTTGGTCAGATGAGCTTTACCATGGGGAATTTGATCATCTCACCAAATGTTCTTTATATTCCATGGAAGTAGCTGAGCCAGTTCTCCCCAGAGTGAAAGAAAATAATCTCGGTATTTCTTCTATATCACAAACCAACCAGCCAACCGCAGAAATTTTGCAGGTATGTGAGTTTTGATTCAGCACAAGTAAAATAGTCTGTTAACATTATATGGTAAAACTTCAAATAGTTTTTTCTCGTTCTACAGATTTACTTGACAACTTGGCTTGCAGAGGTAAACATTGACACTCATAGGTAAATATTAACATTTTCACCATTATTATTCCTGAGTTAAGTATGCTCTTTTGGGCACAAAGTGGATCTTATTAACCCGGTGTTGGGTATTTGTTACAGGGTGGATGAGATATTAGCTTTGGTCGGGGAAGAAACTAGAGTCACCTTCTAGAGCTCGAAAGCTGTTCATAAGTTCAGCTTCTGGTTAAGTTTCAATGACTTCAAACAAAGCATGACTGATTCTACAAAAGTACTCAATGACTTCAGAGAGAGGTCTTTAGAATAGTAGCTGTGTAAACAAAATTGCCACTTATTGCTATATTTTGTTTACTGGATTACCTATTGGGGTTACTGTACTGAACGATATTTCTTTACTAAAGTATACAAATGGATTTAACTTACAATGTTTGTGATGATGCATACAGTAATGCTACATATTTAGTAGAGGATCTCCCGCTTTTTGACAACGGAGGCCTTTACTGTTCTCAGGATTCCGACCAACTAACTCATACCCACCCAAAAATAGAAAGATTTGGGGCAAGAAATATATGAAAGCAAAGAATGGGGAAGATTGGCCAAAAAGTGAATTATATGGATCCATCAATAGTTAGAGAGAGAGACATTGTACCCTGTCTGGAATATTCTGAGGCATTGGAGCTACGGTAACATATCTTTGTGAGTTTAACCTAAGTGAATTCACGGTCCGGTCCATAGATGAAGATGGTGGGTGGAACTTCGCAAAACGATTTATCACTGCAAACTTCTCTAGATCCTGGACTTCAACTCTCAAGTCTGGAATTGTAGTTCCATTTTCTAGCCTGCAAGAAGAACCAGATGTTTATGAGATCAAATCAGCCAAAATGAGTAGCCATTTCAAACTTGAATTAATTACAATAGGAGCTACGGGTTTTACCCTGCAAAGTCAGTCTCTAGTTTCTGTGTTCTACTAATGAAATCTTCAGCTGCTTTGGAGATGTACTGGTCACTGATTTTTTCAGTTTTCGTTGTCTCAGACAACCACCTATACAAGAGTGGATTGGTTCGTGTCAATAAACAACCTCGAGCTTTGAAAAATCTCCAGCATTAAAGGGATAAACAGAAAATATCCTTACGGGTTTGAATTGTTTGGGGGCAAAAAGCGCTCACTCCTGTCTATACAACTGGAGCTACATGCATCTCCTAGTGCACCTCTTGCTGCAGAATATGCAACAAACTCATAGTTTGAGCTCGCAGCTAAAGATATTACCCCAGCTGGAGGCGGGCTAAATAGTTGCTGCATGAGTTGTGATGTATGTATAAGCCTTCTCTTTGATCTGATTGGTGGGCCATCCTCCAGTAAAGTCTCAAATTCCACCTGTGAGAACATAAGCCATCAACGTATTCAACAACATTGTACAAAGAGCAGCGAGAAAACATGTACTGAGGATACTCACTTTTTCAGCAAATCGATTAGTTGCTCTGGCCCAATTAATCTCTGCCTCGCTGTAAAAAATATACAAGTTTAATATGGTAATAGATATGAAAAAATTTAGAAATATTAGTGCGCATATGCCACACACCTGAGCGTCTTAAGCCTCTGGGAATCCTGCGTGACTTCTTTATTCCAAGATTGAAGTTCTGATGTGGCAGTTTTGCGCTTCTTTGGTTTATCAACCTTCAAAAGCTTGTCAGTAGCACCATGAAGCAATGACTCGGATGAGGGAGTCTCAACTCCTGGTGCGAAGCCTGACATTTGCTGCATATTACACTGCTTCGACGATTGAACAGTATGTGTACCATCAACCGAACTCTCAACATTAGACGATTGTTCTCCTATTTTCAAAGGGGTAAATATCCCTGTATCATTCATGGGTTGCACCAGTCCATTCTTGAAAGTCCCATATTGACTATACCAGGATGGAGCCATCTGAGGACTGATTTGTTGATGATCTGCTCCAGCCGAGGCTGCATGATTCTTAGAGGAGAAACTCTGAGAAACAGGTTGGCCTAAATGCGGCATGTGATTCGCTGACTCCTTGTTATTCAATCCACCTCTAACTAAACCATCAGATCTTGAAGGTGATTGTTGCTCCCCTTTGTGAGCTACCTCTTGAGGATCAAAAGCACTATCATCAACAGTCATCTTGGATGTATCGCCCTCCCCACTTCCAACCATTTGTTCATCGTGATGTAAGCTTTCCTTTGGAACGTTGCTTGGAGGAAGAGAGCGATCAAAGGATTGATGACTGCTCTGCACCATTTTGGAGAACATTGAAGCAACATTAGATGTTTGTTTTGCACCCATATCTTTACTCTGTAACCCATGCATATTCACCATGTCCCTCCCACTTAATGACATGTCTCCATTTTGGGAGGATAATTGGTTTGTCTTCTCCTGCCTTGAGAAGCTAGCTGCCATGTTGTTGCTGGGCAATGGATGCGGCCTTAAAATATCTGGCTGAGGCTTAGATGACTGGTTCCAAAACCGATGTTGAGGTGCTGAAATACCGGCTGGTGAGTCAGACATCATACCAAAAGAGGAACTCTGCTGAGTCGAGCTGGATGCAACCAGAGGCTGAGAAGCAGAGAGCATACGAAATCCTTCAGAAGAATCTCCTTTTTTGTTGTGGGTTGTAGGATTGAGTAGGGAAGGTGTTTGTGCTGAATGTCCACGTTGATCAAAGTCACTACTTTCCTTTCTTTCTTTCACTTGAGGGGTAGACAACTCAGAAGATGAATTGACTGAATTATTAGCAGCTGATTGTCGGGTAGCAACAGGAATCTGTTGATTTTGGTGATACCCTCTGGAATAAGGGAAACCAGAGGTCATGTTTGATCCTCCTAGAATTCCAGGAAATGGTCCTTGATGAGTGGATTGCTGAAAAGATTGATTAGATGCCCACGGAGCAAACCTGGACTGACTTGTTCCTCCTTTTTCAGGGCCAGTATGAAATGAATTTAATGGCTGCAAAGAATTCTGAGAAAATTGCACGTTATCAGGTGAGGGAGCTAGTTGAGATGGAGGTGCCAACTGTAAATTAAACCCCTGAGAAGCATATGACTGATTATGCCGAAATTGACCACCATAGTCTGCAGAGGTATTTGCTTCAGGAATCCCAGAAATATTTGTTTCCGAGGAATTCTCTGGCGACTGGTCCACCTTGTGAAGAAGCTCAAGCATAGTTTGCCTGCGCAGGAAAAAAGATTCAGAAAGGCCATTGGAGAGCACGAAATGCAACCAATTAGGGAATATGAGCTACGTAACGACCACAGTCAGAATTACATCTCGATGGCATGTGATGAGTTTAAGAGTGACATACTGTAGTTAGGTAACTCTGTCAGTTACTTGACAAACTATCTATAAAAAGGTCACACTACCTAAATAACTTCACAAACGCATTCAAAGAGAGAATAGTTTAAGCACACATAACTGAAAAAGGCCTTTTCAACCCAAAGAACAAGTACCTTGACGAAGCACTCTTCACTTGATTACACCTATCAACACTTCTGTCAGCTGAAGCAGATGTACTAGGTGAGTTTTTTGAACCAATGCCATTAAAAGCCTCATTTGTGCAATTCAAGTCGTTTTGTGAAACATGTCCCTGCCATAGAGGAGCCAAAAGAATGTTCAAAGGGATTCAGATTTATAAAATACATGTTCAAAAACCAAAGGAAAAAATTTACCCTGTCAATTGGCATGTTCATAGCCGACTGACCAAGAAACTTTGACTGCCCAAAATACCCTTGGTTCCCTACAGAAACCTGCTCCAATGTGGGTGGCAAATGAGAAACTTTTTCTTGACAAGACTCATTAGTGACATCGATATTACCCATCGGATGATACTGAAATTTGCGACTTATCGAGCGCCTACTACCGACATGACCAGATTGTGTGTCTTTTCCCCCAGGCAACATAGAAAAATCACGGGTATTTACCATTTCATTTGTTCCAGCATTATTACTTGCATATGACTCAAGAATCTGACTGCCATCTCTAGATTTCAGTTGAGGGATAGCCTTCTCCACAGAGTTATTATCCAAATGTTGTTGGCTACTGGCCTGGACATCCCTAGAAGCACTAGAATCGTTTTCTGCACTGGCAATGCCAAATCCATAGCTTGCCCTTTGTGGATTTTGTGTGAAATGATTCTTCTGTTCAATCAGAGCAGCTACATTTGGATTAGAAGCAGCTTTCCAAATACCAAATCTATCTTCAATGCCCTCATTCTGTCGCATAGAACACAAATTATTCTGTTCATCAATACTTGAAGAATGGAATATATTACCAGCCATTTGACTAAGTTGAGCCATCGGCTTCTCCAACAGGCCATGATCTGAAAATTTATTTCCCTTGTCAGGCAAATGCTGAACAGCTGCCCGAGTGGAATCACTGTGGAATCTCTCACTTAGTGCATTTGAAGCCTTTGAATCACTTTGGGCTCTACTATCAGTATGAGAATTCGCATGTGGGACAGTATTGTTGTTAACCCATCCATGTACAACTGCATCTTCGCTGGATGTTTCTGCTACAGCAGATTGCATAAGGGCGCTCCAACTCCCACTTTGCAAAGAGGGGCATGTATCAAATGGGTCAGAACTACTGGACATAAGATTTCCTTGCAAGCTCATATCAGTGCTGCTTCCAAATGCATCCCACAAATTGTCATCAGAACCAAACAAGATCTTTTCTTCAGTTGGATCTAATGTTGACGACTTCTGCAATGCATTTATATTTTCAGGCACTTTCATAAATATTTTTTCTGATGGACCAGAATCCTTCATCTGACAAAATTTCTCCTGCGCTGAAATGTTCCTCTCACGGGAATCATCTTGCTGGAAATTTTCAAAACTGGGCCTATTATTTGAATCTGGCACTGATGCCTGGGAGAACAACGCTTTCTCCTGGTATGTGGATCTAGGGAGCATTTGACTATCCTGTATGCCACCTTGATTGAGAAATGACGTTGGCTGATTAGTGAGAGAGTAACTACTGTTTGCAGAACCATGCGGTGCAGCTAACCTGTTCATCTGAACGGAAGAAAAAGCATTTTGAGCTACATTTGTCCCACTAACAGGCATACCGTACAAGGAAGGTCCAAATTGTTGAGCCATTAAGTTCGACTGCCCATGCTCAGGGGTAATCATGAGCCCACTGGATGAACCTTGAACAACTGGCGAGATGCCGCGATGCATCCAGTTTGTATTTCCTGTCATGAGATCTGGCTGCAACCAGTTACTAGATGCATCTTGAAGAGGGATGCCATTGATCATATGTGATTGGTTATCACTTGAGCGACTTCCATTGACTGCATTTATATTCAAAGAATTGAGCTGCCTGGCCCCTAGCTGTTGCCTATGAAGTTGTTGTTGCATTTGATATTCATGCATTTGCTTAACCATAACTTGCTGCTTCAGTAGTTGCATATCATTGAATGTCATCTGCTGCCTTGGCAAAGGCTGGAGCATGCCAGGGAGCTGTGTGTTTGATTGTTGTTGACCACCAAAGAAATCATAATTAACTGGAGATTCTCCCATCTCAAGGCTCATAGGAATTTTATGAAGTTCTGGAGTAAATCCCCTTGCTGATAAACTATCCCTACTAGATTCTACATTAACTCCCAAAAAATTTGCCCCATTCGGCATTGTCTGCAACCCAAGGTTGCCATGCGTGTAACCATTTGAGAGTTGCTGGTGTTCTTGCAATAAACTTCTCGAGAACTCGGACCTTATAGGCTGCTGAGTATAATTCAAACCATGCTGTGATTTTGAAGATTGATGACCTCTCTCATGATCAACTGGAATAAGCAAAAAAAGCTACGATTAAAAACTAGCAATATATGTAGCTATTAATGATTACAAGTTGTGGAATTCAGTGCCATAAGGAGACAAAATCAGTACCAGATTGTTGTGTGTTATAACTCTTCAGATTGGCAATAAGGGATGGGTCTATCTGGCTCTGGTTACCGAGTAGACCATTATTATAATTCGACCAGCTTCCGTCAACAACCTGAGACTGATTTTGGTCTTGGGAGAGGCCTTCTTGTCCAAAGAAATTGTGGATCTTCTCCCCAAATTCGTTTCCAGGCATAGATTCAGCTCCTATAAACTATTTATAATTATCTGGTCTTTGAAAAGAAACAGAAACGAGTTCATCATTGTGCCTCCCTTGATCTAAACTTCAAATGTGTAAGAAAAAAGGGAACATATAAACACCTCTTTCACCAGAATTCATGAGCTTCCTCCAACAGACATGCTTTGAATACTCATAGATTCTCCTGCTAAACAAACAAAACAGATACTGCAAAATTTAAAATTGAACAAAAAAAAGTGAAACAAAAACAGTAGACATCAGAAAGCAAAGACAAGCGTTGTTTCTGCAAAGAAGAAACAAAACCCACATCAAATGAAAACCACAGAGCAGCAAAGCTAGACTTTAAACTCGAGACTTGATGCAAAGCCCTCAGGGTACAAGGAAACAGAATCAGCATTGTTTCCTTAGATTGAAAACCGTACACTGACACGCCTAAGTTCAATCAACATCTGAAACTCTAACACACTCAACATCCACCTAATGAGTAAACTTGGAGAGCTCATTTCAGTATATGTCATCAACTTCATTAATCATAAACCATCTGAAATCTTCCAATTCACCGCTACAAACACTCTGTGGCAGCTGAAAATTAAGCTAAATTCGAAAATTTACAGAATATATTGGAAATCTCGCGAACATCCTCGAGATCAAAATTGCCGCAAACACAATCTCTCACCCCAAATCGAAGCTCTGGTTAACATGAACATTACAATAACCAAGAATGAATTCAACCTCATATAAAACACTTCCTATCAAGACGCTACAACGAATTTGGGTAAAAAAAACCATTTTTATTTTTAAGATATATTTACAAGAATTAGGGTTTCCACAAAGGGAAAGAGAGATGTGAACTTACACACTTGTGTCACGTTTAGCCGTACAACAAATGGGAACCTGAAGAAAAAAGCCTTCCTTTGCTTTGCTTGCTCAATTGCTAAGAATAAGTTAGGGTTTTCGAATTCAAGAATTAACGAAAGCAGGAGAAGAGAGAGATAAAGTGATCGATAGCAGTGCGAAAAAATTTCAACGGCGAGCGCAGGAGCCAAACAGAGAGGTTCGGGTCCGGAGGCAAATCCGAGGCTCGGGTCCAAAGCAATTGGCTGGCTCGTCGATCAAAAACTCTCTTTTCAGGTCAGAGGGTTTAGACAAGAGTTGTTGTAGTGTGGGCCAGTGATAAGACAATTATAAACCAAACCCACCTAAACGTCAAACACGACACCGTATTTGGTCAGTTCCCACATAATTACGTTGCAATAATTCATTATCTCATAAGGTTGTTGTTTTTTGTTAAGATTTCACAAAAAATAAGAGAAAAAACTGTATAATTCGAAAAAAGTCAAATTTCATTTATTGGGCCGGTTTATTGGGCAAGGAATTATCTCAAAACCCTAATTGGATCCATCATCTTCAATTCCTCTCAATTAGCAGGAGACAACATTTCAGTGAGCTCTTGTATTGTTTTTGGATCAGTATGTGTGTACGGAGTATAATTTAGGTCATTGCAGATTTTGGTTTAACACTGAAGCTAATTCTGGTTTATCCCAATGTGAATTATATAATCTGTGTTTCCTTTCTCTAAAATGTTCCTCTCATGTAGATTGAACTGCCTCTGTGGACCGACATTGAAAGAGCTTGCCCCATATGATCCTGACTGTCAGAGCCGGTATGCTAACAAACTCTTTGATTCAACATCGATTTTATGTGTCGAAGCGGTCATGCCTATACTAGTGCCTAACACAGTCGAAGTAAGGCTTTGTAGTGTATCCAAAGATCCTTCTGAGATGAATTCTGTTTTTAGCTTCCATGGCTATAAAAATCTACTTGTGAGGGGAAGTCTTGGAGTTGGTGCATTCCGTAGGATATATATCAATATATGTGATTGACACATACAAGACATGGACACATCTTTTTCCAGTAATGTTGATCGGGTTGTAATGTAACCAGGGGAAGGAAAATCACATCCAGTGGTCAAAGGGATCTTGACCAAGTGGCTGGAAGGATTGACCTGTGACTGAGTTTTATAGGTGTTCTTTGTTTTGATAGTCATCTTCTTCTCTCTTTTTTTTTTTAACATAGTTCTTGGAGTTGTTCACTTGTTTGTAGCTTTCTTCACTCTCTCTTTTTTTGTTTTGGTCTTCAATGTTTAATTTAATTCTCTTTGGCTTGGCTCCTATCCTTTCTCAGTCTCAGTGACTGGCGCTTTCCATTGATACTAACTTACTCTGTTTTTCTTCATAATAAGACCATATAGTAAATGAATAATACAGAGATGACGATCAATATTACCCATATATTTGTTACCCATAGTAGCATTCAAATGAACATACAGAGATGAAGAGAGTATTACTAAATAATGGTAAGAGCTGACGATAATATAGAATAAAAGGAAAAAAATAAGTGGGGAAAAAAAGAGAGAAAAGGAAAAGAAAAGAAAAATAAATTGTTGATGGGAAAAAACCTTTTTGGTCATTATTTGTAGGCAGCCTACGTCAATTCTCGCTCCATTCTCCAAGAAACGAAGATTTTTGTCAAAGTACTGCAGAATCTATCGTCACCCAAACTAACAATGATGGTTTCGGCTCAATAAATACAGGAATGTGGAAAGGTAACGCCAGAGTAGGCTAAGGTCTATAGTAGGTTTTCACACACGAACACGATTGAGAAACTTTAGTTTTGGACCAATATATTTATTATAATTGTTTAAAAAAAAGAGAGATTTGTTTGGAGAGAGATAGATGAAACATCAAACATAAAAAATAATATTTATATCCGTGTGTTATTTAACAACACCTGTATGTTATTTATATATCCACTATTCTATTATTTCTTTATTTTTTATTACTAACACCCGAATTAAAATTGTATCATTGCGTGTGGTCTAAGATCGGAACAGTCCAATGTACAGTTCAAAACCAAAAACTACGTCTCGAAAAGTACCTTTCTCTGCATGAGTCTCTAGTTACATTTGTTACAAATGCGAGTTCAAATAAGATACTTTTTTCGTACGTTCCAAAAAGTCCTAATATCTAAAATTATCCACCGTTGACAAAAAAAAACCAAGTCCTAATATCCACCGGCAATCTTTGGCCAAGTCATTTCTTTTATGTTTGTTCATGCGATCCCCTTCCAAGATAAGAGTTCGTGTCTTACTTCTTTTAGGAAAATAATTGGTGCAAAAAAAAAAATCCTCTTTGTACGTAAAAGAGATCTATTTGTCTTCTCTATATTTTCACAAAAGAAAATACTTCAACCAAATTTCTGAAATTTAGAATAATCAATAACACAAAAATATTAAAAGAAGAGAAAACTATAGCTATATTTTTATATATAAACATCAACAGTTCAACAACATAGAGAATAGAGAGACCAGAGAAACAGGTAGACCCTTAAACATAACACTATTGAAAAGTACTCAAAACTCACACACATCATAAACCAAATCCAAAACTAAACATTTCTGAGTTTTTTACTTGGATTTGGTTCGGTGTCTGAGTCTTTTCTTTTCTATCCTATTCCTAGTTCCATGTTCACCAGCACATACACTTTTTATTATTCATAATCCTAAATATTCATAGGATTATGAATAATAAAAACTGTATGTGAAAAGACTAAACCGAGCTCACTGGTTCGGTACATTTACCGACCATTGTGGTTTGAACTGTATTATCCCCTCCGTCACGAGCTGGGCTGAAACATAGCGCACTGTATGCCTCAGCCGGATAGGTCATTTGCTGGAAACGTTTCACCAGCTCATCTTTGCCCTACACACAAGTGAGTGTTACAATAAGATAAGATATACAGATATGTGTATATATGTAGAGTAAGGAGTGGGAGACTAGCCTGAATCCTAGCAAAAGTAATTTCAACTTCTTTTTTTGAGTAAAAATGGCACCACGGCTTGTGGTTGCAAGCAGCCTTAAACTTCGTCACTGCTTCTGCCTTTGTGAAGTTCACGAAAGCATACCCTTTGTTCATTGTAGTCCTGTTTAATTTGGTACTATTCATTTAGGTAACATTTTTATATTAAAAATACCTTAATGCAAAAATAAAAAAAAATTAAGTTGTTACATAACGGTAGATAACTAGATATTCAAGATTATGATTTGCAAGATTTGTATATCATCATTTTGCTGCTTCTCTTTCTTACTAGTTACAAACACACACACACAACGATATAAGCAAAGATGAAACTAACGAATAGTAATAAAGATAGTAACGATTAAAACTTACCTAAAGTCTATCGGAAGATAAATGAAATCATAAGCAGAGATTGTAAATTCTTCATTTTTCCCACTTATATTGGCTTCTTCGCAGTGCTTATCCATGTACTCAATCATCATCTCTCTCCTGCAAATATTGTTAATCATAAACTTCAATATATGCCTCAGCATTTCATCACCACAACTAAAAATAAAATAAAATCACACCTTGTTTAAAAACTAACATAGATAATCTAGCGGTAATAGAATTAAAATGAAGGAAGTATATAGACTAATATGAGCTTATATATATATACTTACGTGTATCGGTTGGGTACCCTGTTCTAAAAATTCTCGCCTAGCCCCGATTACTCCCCGCTTAATCGCTAGGCCCACCCTATCCGCCTCGATTAATGACTAATCCCCTAAAAAATCAGTAACCCAATTATTCTCCGCCTAATCCGATTACTTCCCGCCTAATCTTATATACCCCGATTATTTTTTAGATTGAAAGTATAAAATTTTTTTTATTTTTGTTATTCAATCATTTGAACGGAGAGTTTGTGATGTTTTACAATAACTTGTGTTCAAATTTTAATAAAAATCATAAATTTGTAATAAAAATCATAAATTTTTACAATATTGGATTAATATATTTTAAAAATATTAAAATAACCCTAAAACTAATCCCCGATTAATCCCCGATTTTAATCCGATTTTCCGATTAATCGCTAGGCGTATACCGAGCGCCCGACTAGCGCCTAGCGATTTTTCAAACAAGGGTTGGGTATGTTGCGAAGCATGACGGTTGTGATGTGATCGCCCTTGGATTCAACTTCCGGCTTGATACTTCTTCTCCATGTCACCTTCTCACATCGACCGTGACTTCTCCGGCCAAAAACTCTTCTACTACTAGTCGGGGGAAGAGTCATGAGCTCTTGGCTAGGGGTTGGAGAGTAGGGTTGAGGAAGTTCTTGTGTTGACTCATACCGGTTAGGGTTAGAGTTTATATACCAAAGAGGATAATACACCCATATTGATGGAGGAGGGAGATTTATGTCGGAGATGAAGTAAATCTGTGGTGGCGCCGAGAAGTAGTGAGTACGAGGAGAAAGAGTGTGAGGAAAGAAAAAAGGTATGGGTGGGTGTAAAGGTTGTCTAACTACGACGGAGACGTTGTTGTTCTCCGGAGCTGAATCATTGGAAAAAGCCATTGGAAGTGTTATGTGGAGAGAAGGAATGATTTTGATGCATTATATATTATTTTCTAATAAGAAACAGATTTGAAAAAAAAAAAAAAAAAAAAAAAAAGATTTGATATCTCAGTCTAGAAGATCCGACTAGTACGTCTACTCGCAGCTTCATAATTTCGTTTTGTCAGTATTTTTTTTTTTTTTTTTTTCTTCTTCTTTTTTCCGACCTCGAGATCCGTGAGGCTCAGTACCTTAAGTTACGTTGAGCAAGTTAAGCTTCGGCGATATATATATATATTTTTGGCTTAAAAACTGACTAGTTTTATAGTGTGTTGAAATCTGATTCAGTACAAATTTACCAAATCTAAATGTATACTAGATTTGCCAAATCTTTTGTGATCTAAATGTATACTAGATTTGCCAAATCTTTTGTGATATAGCTGTACTTGAAGTGTCCGTTATTTTCGTAGGGACATCTAAAGTTTAAGACTTGGATCATCATGAAACATTGTTGTAATAGCAAAGGGTTGACAACAAGATTTGTTCTATGTGTCTATTTAGTAGCTAACGAAATTTAGTCTAAATTGAAGATTTTTTATCATAATTTTTTTCTGAATTATTAAGAGGTTTTGAGTCTATGTCTGTACATCTTCAGCTTTATAAAAAGTGTCGTTTTAAAATTTTATTTTTGTTCCATAAAGAGTGTCGTCTTGTGTTTTCAATGCATATTTTAAAATTAAATCTCACTTTATCACTGTTTTTAACTTATTAATTAGAGAGAAACTATTTTAATGTATTAATATATAGGGTAAAAAAAAAAATTTAATGTCTTTTTTTTTTTGTGAAAGATAGTAAAATAACACTCTTTGCAAAACAAATATTGTATTTTATATGTTTTTTTTCCAAGTGTCACTCGAACGAACCTAGTTATTTTGAAGAGTTCACTCGAACGATTTTTTTAATTCTCATATACATGCTGTTTTTGCGAGTCTATTTGTTTTTCTAATTATTAAAGGTATGATCAAAAAACAGATTGGCAACATTGTACCAAGTGATACAAGGTATATTACCAATCATCCAAAAACACATGTTTAGGTGTTGTATTTTTGAACTTGACTGCAGTGAGTAGATCGATCGGGGTCGAGTACTCGAGTCCCACAGATTTGGTCCAAGGATGGAGCATAGGAGAATAGTGACATATGCTTTAAAAAGTTACGTCCCATGCTGCAAAAGGATTCCTCAAGCCATGCTAATGCCGTAGGGAATAGGGATGGGGACTTGTAGGATTAATACTTGGACAAGATTTATAGTGTACATTTTTACTTATAACAAACAAATTAGAATTTGATCAAATATGTATTTGCAGGTTGTTCGTTAACATTAGTATATAAATATTAATAATTTTTAGTATATATATATATATATATGTATATTTTTGCTTAGATATATTTCACTTTTATATTTATCCACAACATTAAATGTAGTGGTAGAGAATCATGTCAACATCAACACATTTTTTTTTACGTACTAAATCAACATCACAATCGCATTTCTATTTTTTTTTGCCAAATGTATTTTAGAAACCTAAGCGACAAAACCATACAATCAAAACATTTGGATGTCAAAAACCAGATTTGGACAATTTTCCCTTTAAATTAATGAATTTATAAAAAATCCAAAAAGAATAATTCTATTTGTTTTCTTCTGTTTTGATGGGGTCCATCAATGTCATACATTTAGAAATCGTGTCATGAAAGTAATGGGCTTGGGCCCTTTGCCGACAAAAAATGTATGGCCACGTGGCAATCCGAAACTCTGAGATTCATTTATCCTACGTGGCCAAGCCGTGTAAAACGGATACGATAGATTAACCCTCTTTTTCGCCCAGAATCTTTCTCCTTTCACAAATCAAATATATATAGTCCGATCGAATAAATCAAAGAAAGATTTAATTGTTGTAAAAGTCAAGGAAAGCTGCAACATCAAATACACATGCGTAACGATCGTAAAATAATATTTTGTGTGGAGTCCACCGTCACTATGCATGCATAGTAACTTACTTTTTCCTGTCTATATAAACGAACGAATTCGTTCGTTGTAAATCACAATTTATACTTCAACAATAAGAAGTTATAAGAACTCTCTCTCCTCCTCTCATCTCTTTATTTTCAGTATCCCGATCCTTCTGCGGGTAAAAATTCTTTCTCCATTAAATATATTTATATACACCATAAAATAAAGTAATTATTATAACACGTTATCAGCACGATCACTCTATGATCGCTGAAAAAAAATACGGTATTATACCGGGCAGTATGTCGCCTCGTTAAAAGAAAAAATATGAGAAAAAAAAAAAAGGGAGAAAAGAAAATTATATAAATAAATAAAAGAAACTATATGGTTGGCTGAGCCACCTGAAATTACTTCATGCACCATAATTAATTATTTTCTGTTAATGGTTGGCTGAGCCACCTGAAATTTTATTCACTGCTTTAAATATTTATTTCTGCTACCGGTCGGCTGAGCCGCCTTAATTTTATGCACTGCTTTAAATATTTATTTCTGTTGCCGGTCGGCTGAGCCGCCTTAATTTTATGCACTGCTTTAAATATTTATTTCTGTTGCCGGTCGGCTGAGCCGCCACATATATATTTACTGTTTCTATGTGGATAATTCGTCACCATAATATAACTGTGAATTATTTGTTTATATTATGGTTTATTCACCTGTATAAATATTTTTATTTGAATCGATAATTTTTATCTGATTGATCTCTAATTTTTCAGATTAATTTTTTTAAAAATATTTTTCCGCCAACGGTCTCAAAGAAAAATTTCAAAATTTTTTCAAAAAATTCAACTTTTTCCAACGGCTAGGAATAGTATTTTTCAATCTATAAATTCATTCATTTTCTCATTCATTTCATCAAAACAAAATTTTTTCATCTCTCTAAAAAAATCTCTCTGAAAAAAGAAGAAGAATTTTGAAGTTTTGAAGAATGTTTCGATTATTCTTAATATTTGTTTTTGGAATCATTATTATGTGTATTTATAATCTTTGCGTTGTAGATTTTACTCCGCAAGAATTTCGTTTGAATATTAGTTTATTTGTTTGTACGTTTTTTCTTTTTGTAATCGCTTGCATTATTAATGTAAACGGTTTATTTTAAATATGTTTTAAAATAAATTAAATAAAGATTTCTAATAATATTCCAGGTTTTTATTTTAGAAAACAAATGGCAAATATTGAGAAGCTTAAGTTTTTGGCTCTGCACATCACTTTGGCCAATTATATATTTTTTGAATTGCCAACGTCGAATTACATTTACAATCTCTTGGCTTAATAAAAACCGTAAAAGAGAATAATATTTCGACGGTTCAAGAAAGGGAAAAATTGGTGATCTTTATTTTAAGACACCTTGATGAAAGTATGATATGTGATTATGCACACATATAAGATCCCAGAGAGATCTAGGAATCCCTAAAGGCTCGATTTGATAATCGAAAGGCAATAAATCTCCCACTTGCTTGGGATGAATAGCAAAGTCTAAAGTTCAAAGACTTTGATAAAGTGATGGATTATAATTCCGCTATGATGGAAATTGTGGTTAAACTAAAATATTATGGTGATATTATCACTGATTCTCAGATGCTTGAGAAAACGTATACCACGTTTCATGAAAACCACATTACCCAGCAAAAACTGTATATGTCATAAGGGTATACCGAATTTTCGGATTTATTTGTGGCACTCCTAATAGCGGAAAAGATTAATGAGACCGCTCATGCGGTTAACTAAAGAGCTTGTATTGAGACTGCTGAAATAGTCTCTAGTTATGCCATATATATAATATTATGCTTTTGTTATTTTGAAAAATAATGTTGTTTTAACAACAATTTAATATATAATTATTGTGTGTTTTCTTTTCATGAATAAAATTTACTTTCTTTTTATTGATGCTTATCTTAATCACAGAAATGGATGAAACAATCTCCAAGGAAATGGCTCAAGAAATTTGCATACCAGATAGTGGGACAACACACACTATTCTAAAGGATAAAAGATATTTCTCTAACTTAAAACCGACAAACATGATTGTCAATACAATATCAGGTCCTGTAGACGTGATTGAAGGAACTGGTATGGCCAACTTTATGTTGCCTAATGGAACCAAGTTTTCCATAAAAAATGCCTTGTATTCTCCAAAATCTAAAAGGAATTTGTTGAGTTTCAAAGACATATACCTTCAAGGATATGATACTCAGTCTGCAACTGAGAATGAAAAGAAGTATATGTACATAACTTCTGATAAATCGGGAAAAAGGCTTATATTGGAAAAATTTCCAAAACTTCCTTCAGGATTGCATTATACTCATATAAGTGCAATCGAATCGCATCTAGTGATTAAAAGAAATCCAGAAGATTTCACATTATGGCATGATCGCCTCGGTCATCCAGGCACCTCGATGATGCGAAAAATCATAGAGAGCTCACATGGACACCCATTGAAAATCCAGGAGATATATCATGGGAATAAAAAGACATGTGCCGCATGTTCTCTTGGAAAACTTATCATAAGGCCATCGCCAGCCAAAATTGATAAAGAATCACCAAAATTCCTTGAACGAATTCAAGGAGATATTTGTGGACCAATACATCCACCATGTGGACCATTCCACTATTTCATGGTATTAATTGACGCATCCAGCAGATGGTCACATGTTTGTCTATTATCATCTCGAAATATTGCATTTGCGAGATTTCTAACTCAAATAATCAAACTGAGGGCTCAGTTTTCTGATTACCCTATTAAAAGAGTTAGACTAGACAACGCTGGTGAATTCACATCCCAAGCATTCAATGATTATTATATGGTAACGGGAATTGAAGTTGAACATTCTGTACCTCATGTTCATACACAAAATGGCTTGGCGGAATCATTAATTAAACGTCTGCAATTGATTGCAAGACCATTGATCATGAGATCAAAACTTCCAACCTCTGTATGGGGACATGCCATTTTGCATGCAGAAGCACTCATTCGGATAAGACCAAGTGCATACCATAAATACTCCCCACTACAGTTAGCATTTGGTCGAGAACCAAATATA